CCACTTCGTCCTGGAGAGGCCTGCTTGCCAGCCTCCTGCCCTGCGACTATGGCCTATGGGGGTGTGTGGCCCTTTAAAAGCACTATTGGTCTTATGGACTTTTATTTGGACTAGTGCTGGCCCTTTAAAAACATTGTATGGACATATTGAAACTTTTGGGACCCTTTTTCTGCCCCTTTGAATCCATGGGAAGGTGTGCCTCTTCCCCTCCCCCTGTACCATTGTTCTCCCAGAGACACTGCCAAACCAGTTGGAACTAGCTGCTTTGTCCCTCCTTGATCAAAATATGACTTCCACCTATCCCCTGAACCACTTAACCGATTCAAGTGAATTTTGGATATGTTTGTCCCCAAATTATGCTGGTTATAAAAATATAACCAGTTTTTGATATCGCATGTAAACTCACAAAGTTACAAAAATGGCATAAAAGTATGTTTTTTAGCTTGGAGATAATTGAGTTGATACAGTAATTAACTCAATTATCTCCCAAGCAGAGTGGAGGATTCTCATTATAAAAAGTGGGTGTACTTATCCATGTGCCTTTATTTTATTGGTTGTAAAATTTACAGTTCCCGTGCCCCACAAGGTCCACATGGGTGGTAACCTTGCTGGGAAAGTTGTATAAAAGCAGGAATAAATGCTCATTGGAGTCAGTTCTTCTTGACCCTCAACACGTAGTCTTGTCTCGTGATTGGAGGGGACAGCTATACTCACACTGGGGATTGCTATGCTCTGCATACTCCCCTGAGCTTTAATCACTTAGCTCTTTTAAGAGCTTGTTCCTGATACGTTCTCCTGGAGGAGAGGTCTTCCCCACACTGTCCTGGAGGACAGAAGCTGATCCAGGGTGGACAGAAGACGGCGAGACTCCAGTTAATCTACGGCGGTTGTGGAGTCTGCGGTGGTTGTGGTGTTCTGGTGCGGTGCTTGTGGTCCTCGGCGCAAGCTAGGAAGCGTCCATCAACGGAAGGTACTCGGTTGGAGTATGGGGAGTTCCGTTACAACATACACAGACAGTCACACATAGTTACATTCACACACACACATTTGCAGTCACACACAGGCAGACAGTCACACACAGTTACATTCATACATGCAGACAGTCACACACACACACACACACACACGCAGACAGTCACATATAGTTACATTCACACTCAGTCAGACAATCTCACACACACACACACACACACAGTTGCAGTCACACACAGACAGTCAGTCACACACAGTTACATTCATACATGCAGACAGTCACACACAGTCAGACAGTCACACACACACACACACAGTTGCAGTCACACACACACAGTCACACACACACACACAGTTGTAGTCACAAACACAGGCAGACAGTCACACACAGTTACATTCATACATGCAGACAGTCACACACACAGGCAGACAGTCACACACACACACACACACACACACGTAGACAGTCACACATACAGGCAAACAGTCACATATAGTTACATTCACACATAGTCAGACAGTCACACACACACACAAACACACAGTTGCAGCCACAAACACAGGCGGACAGTAACACACACAGGCAGACAGTCACACGCACAGGCAGACAGTCACACACACACACACACACTGTTACAGTCACACACACAGTTACAGTCACACAGGCAGACAATCACAAACAGTTACAGTCACACACAGAGGCATACACTCACATGCAGTTACAGTCACACACATACAGGTAGACAGTCACACACAGTTACAGTCACACACACAGGCAGTCACACACAGTTACAGTCACACACACAGGCAGACAATCACAGTTACAGTCACACACACAGGCAGACAATCACACACAGTTACAGTCACACACAGAGGCATACACTCACACACAGTTACAGTCACACACAGTTAAAGTCACACACACAGGCAGATAGTCACACACAGTTACAGTCACACACACAGGCAGTCACACAAAGAGGAGACAGTCACACAAATGGAAAGTTACCTCTCTCCATATTGCGCTGTAAGGGAGGAGAGGAGGTAGTTGCAGCTCCTTGAGTTGTTGAGGAAGCAGGGATTTGTTCCTGCTTCCTCCTTCCTATGTAGCGCAACTTCTGGGCTGCTCAGTAAATCCTGCCCCACTACTCTGTAAGCCCTGCCCACACTGCCATGTGTTTTTGGCATAGTACTGGGTGAAAAAAAAATGAAATCCTCCACCTGGGTAGCAGGCAGTGGTGTATTCTGGTTTTGTACTGTCCTAGGCAGCACAAAACTTGGGCACCCCCTGCTGTGATGTTTTGTACAAATCAGCCAATAATTCCTGTAAAACGAAGTACTCACTTTATTAATACATATATAACAGCATCTTCATATTGCAGCCTTGTTACACAGGGTTTCAAATCCCTCGAACATTCTACCAACTGCCAACAGGAACAGGAAGTAAAGAACCAAAAGAAAGGAAGTGCATCATTCACAGCCAACAACAGCCCACCTGCCCATACATCACATTACATACACTCATACACTCACACACTCATACACAGCCCAACCGCCCATACATCCCACCTGTCCCCTTCTAAATTTCTCTTCCTGACAGACACACACCCTCACTGATGCATGCACTGACATACACTCACTTACAGTTACAGAGTCATTGTCACACACACCGTTTAACCAACACACACTTTCACTGAAACATACACATTCACAGACATATGCACTCACTCATTCACAGTTACAATCACTCACATTCACTGACAGACACACATTCACGACAGACACATACACACTCACTAACAAGACACACATGCACACTCACTGACAGAAAGGCATACACACTCACTGACAGATGCACACTCACTCAGTGTCAGACACACACACTGGGACACACATATACTCACTGACAGATACACACTGACAAACACACATATACAACACTCACTGACAGACATATATACACTCAGTGTCAGACACACACATTGATTGACAGACACACATACGCTAGAAGACAGACACACACTATCAGACATACACATTCACTGGTAGACACATACTCTCAGTGACACACACGCATACAAACACTGACAGACACGGATACACATGCTGAAACATGCATACACACACTGGCAGACACTCACTCAGTGACAGATACACACAAACTCACAAACACACATACACACTCACTGACAAAAGCATATACACTAACACACACACACACCGTAACACTTACTAACAGACACCCACTAACAGACACACTAACACACTCACAGACACACGCTAACACACTCACTAACAGAACACATTCACTAACAGATGCACACTAACATACCCACTCACAAACAGACACACACTAACACACTCACTAACAGACACACACTAACACACTCACTAACCAATATATTGACACACTCACTAACAGACACACACTGACACACTCACAATTTTCTACATTTTTTTTTTAATTCAATCTACCAAGCCTCCCTACTATTGGGAGTGCTGGAGTGGATTCTTTCCTGGCGTCCAGTGGGGTTGCTGCTGGCTGGGTTGCAGGCACGCGGGCAGGTGGTCGGGCAGGCTGTCAGACAGGCTCATATTGGAAGCGTCGAGGGAGCTCTGATCTCCCTGTTCGGCTCCCTCGCATGCCTCTTAGTCATGCCGGAGCTGGAGTGACATCATATTCCGGCTACGGCATCACTGCGGTGTGCGCGAGGGAGATGAACAGAGGAGAGCTCAGGGGACAGTGCTCCCTCGCACGCACCGCAACATCAGCACATGTCAGCTTCAGGGGGTCCCTGAGTTGGGCAGCCATCCAGCTCCTGGGTCCCCTAGGACAAAAGACTGGCAAGGCATTTGCCAGGGCGATTGGGGGGCTGCTTTTTTGCCACCCCCCTGAAAGTGCTACCCAAGGCAAATGCCTTGTCAGCCTCGTGGTAGCAGGTGCACATACTTTACATCTAAGCCATGTGTGAGCTGTGTCGGCCGCATGGCACCCCCTGCTGCCATGGTGCCCTGTGCGGTCGCACAGCTCGCACAACCCTAAGGCCGGCCCTGATAAGGGGTATACGGAAAGGCTGCACAAGGTAAGGAATGATATGGAGAGGGGTTACCAGGGGGTTATGAAGAAGGTACACAAGGTATTGGGGATATGGTGAAGGGGATACCGGGGGTATGGCAAAGTATGGCCACAGACATTTGCCTACTATTGGCTTTCCTTGTAACAGTGCCTACAACATCCCAAAACCATTGATAGGTCATATTTCCTAGCAATAGATCTTTAATTTATCTTAATTTTATTATCAAAATGAATTACGGAGTCTCTTTCACAGGAGAGAAAATGTCCTGTGTCATTAAAAGAACATGCCGTGTTATCACGTGCAAGATGCATTGTTTTCCATTTTTAATTCCATTCAAAGTGTAAAGATTTAAAGAAAACCCCACCACAATTCATTACCTATACTCCTTTACAAATCAGCAGCCACATTAAGATGGCATATTCACTTTATTAATCTGCCTGTCTTTTATTATCCACTATTGCGTGAGCTTATTGAAAGATAAGTGTTTAAAGTCAGTGTGCACAAACCTTACAAATATTTTACTTTGTTGATAGAAGAAAAAAAATTATTTAAATACAACAAACTCAATTACTCTAAGCAACTGATTAATGTTTATTGTGACATTGTCAGTGTTGTGTATAGAGCTATTTTTTCTGCGAGAATTCCTAGGTTAATATTTATATTAAGAAAATAATATCTCCAGCAGTCAGCAATCTTTTCTCTGGTCATACGGTATTTATGTAGTAAAGAGGATTTGACATTGATGGATATCTTCAGGAAATATATTCTTGCTTGATTTTGTTTGTATTTCAAAGTGTTTCCCCGTGATAGTTTTATTTATTTATTTATATATGTATATAGTGCAGAAATGACCTTATTTTGACTCATGAAAACTGTTTACGTAATGCACTTATAGATATATATATATATGCATCCTACTGAAAGTTTTTCAATTTAAACTGAAAGGTTGATGACAAATAAAAGCTAAATTATAGAGGAGAAAGTCACATGAGTGTTGACCAAAGTACTGCTGGTTACACCACCAGTACAAATAAATATACTGTTCAAGCCTTTTGTTGAATATAAATAGACAGACAGAGATAGATAGATAGACAGACAGACAGATAGACAGACAGGAAGGATAGCATAGTGCAGATATAAAATATTAAATTATATAGTGATACATTTTTATTGATGTGGCTGCATTTTATAGACTCAGTCTTTAAGGGGCACCTTCTCTCTCTTTCTAGGTGTAAGCAAAGGCAGTTTTATGCTCTGTGCAATGTTCTGCTGGGAAACCTTGGGTCCTGGCATTCATGTAGACGTTACCTTGACATGTACCATCTACCTAGATATTGTTGTACACCACGTACCCTCCTTCATAGCAATGGTGTTCCCTAATGGCAGTGGCCTTTTAGCAGGATAATGCACCCTACCACACTGCAAAACTTGTTCAGGAATGGTTTGAAGAACATGACACAGAGTCCAAAGTTGTCTTGGCCTCCAAATTCCCCAGATCACAATCTGATTGAGCATCTGTGGGATGTGCTGTAACAACAAATTTGATCCATGGAGGCCCCCATGATATCCTACATGATTTTATATAGGTGGTTTTAATGTTGTGGCTGCCCAGAAAATATATATATATATGTGATATCCATCCCTATGGAGATAGACAGATACATATTTTGTAAATTTTATTTATATGCATACATAATCTGTGGATCTTTTATATTAAAGTAAGATGTTTTGTTTTTTGCCTCCTTTTTCCATACTCGTATATTTAGTTGACTGCGAATTGATGGTGTCCAATTTTTATGTCTTTCATATCATCCCCTTGACTCTGAAATACAAAGAAAATAGCACACGGTATCAATCTCCCTGATAAATAGGTAAATTTCAGATGCAGCTCATGCAATATTAAATATGTTAAGTGCTGAGTTTATACTTTGCGAGGAAACTTGTTACCGACCATTTAAACCACACTATCTCAGGAAAGTCTAATGCTACTGTTTTGGATAGAAAATAGAAGATACCTTTGTACAGTCATGATGTGCTTTAGTTTGATGGCATGATTTTACAGCACTTACTGGTATTAATGCCAGGTAACAAACCTAATAAATAATAGTCCGCAAGCCTAGCATGGCAATTATTGTACAGGAGATGGTGAGCAATAAATGATACACATACATAAATAACAGGTACTACTTGAAAGTGCTGTTGGAAACTGCCAGAAGTTGAATACATTCAGATCACAGTTTTAAACGGACATTCTAAGCATCAAAATGTAGGTGTATAGATAATTTCCCTGCAGTCTCACTGCTCAATTCTCTGCCATTTAAGAGTTAAAAAAAAAATGTTTAATGCAGCCTAGCCAGACTTGCTTTAATGCTCTCCTATTTTACTGACGCTGGATGTTCTCATTCAGAGTGTGAAGATGTCTAGCATCAGTTAGGCGACCAAAAGTCAGTTGGCTACCAGGAAGTGCCTCTAATGGTTATTTGATTGACAGCCACAAGTCTTAAAAACTGCAATGATTTACATTGGACGATCAAGTGGGGCTGGGACCCTGCACCCAGACCACTTCAATGAGATGAAGTGATCTGGGTGACTAGTGTTCGTTTAATTACAAACACACAACCCCCCATACAATAACACTCAGCCTTCTCACACACAGCCACCATACACAATCACACTCAGCCAACCATAATCATAGCACATTCTACCAACCACACACATATTCCACACACATCACACAGGGAAATCTCCCAGTAATACTGAAAACAGCCAGTAGAAGGTGGCAACATCCACTCTCTACTGTTTTATTTAGATAACCAGGGCCGGCCCAAGACATTGTGCTGCCTTGATCCAAGACTAAAACGCTGCCCTCCTCCCCCCACCAAAACAACAACCACCAAAACATGCCAACATCCATTATATTATGCAGGGTGTGTAGTGAATACAGTAACTGTGTTTGTGCATTGTATGCAGTGTGTGTATTGTATACAGTGTGTGTAGTGAATGCAGTGTATGTAGCGAATGCAGTGTGTGCGTGTGTATAGTGGACACAGAGTGTGTAGTGGATTTAATGTCTTTGTTTTTGTATCGTATGTTATGTGTGTAGTGGATGCATTGTGTCTGTGTAGTGTATGCTGTGTGTGTGTGTATAGTGTATAGTGTATGTAGTGGATGCATTTTGTGTAGTGGATGTAGTGTATCTATTTGTGTAGTGGATGCAGTGTGTGTGTTTGTGTAGTGGATGTAGCGTGTGTGTGGTAGATGCTGTGTGTGTATTTGTGTAGTGGATGCAATATTTGTGTAGTGGATGCTGTATTTGTGTAGTGGATGTAGTGTGTATATGGGTAGTGGATGCATTGTTTGTATAGTGGATGTAGTGTGTGTATTTGTGTAGTGAATGCAGTGTTTGTGAAGTGCGTGTGGTGTGTGTTTGTGGTATTAAGTATGTGTGTAGGAGAGCAGTTTTTTTCCTGTTTTGTTACGTTTATTTCCCCTGTCTCTTACCTGTGGTCAGGGAGGGGGGGATTTGGATACCCTGGTGGTCCAGTGGCACACCTAGTTGTATTGTCCTGGAGTCTGTTACCATCTCCAGCAGCATTACCTCCTCTCTTTTCGCGAGTCCCGAGAGTGTGGCAATGGGGTGGTATGGGAAAGCTCCACGTGCCAGTCAATGCATGCCGGGCGGTTGCCATCGCAACCATGCGGTCACGCTCTTATGGCTTGCGAGAAGAGAGGAGGTAATGCAGCAGACTTCTAGGCCTTCCCTCTTCATTGTTTAAAACAGGGACAATACTCACTATATATGTATACAATAAGGTGGCCATATCTCCTAGCAGCAGGTTAGAGTATACAGCGGTGGCTAAATGCTGCCCCCGTCCAGGTGTCACCTGGAGCCATGGCCTCACTGGAGCCAATGGATGGGCTGGCCCTGTAGATAACCGATCCGATGATATGAGTACTGATATTAGCAGAGAGTTACCTTAGGGTTAGGGGTATGGTTAGTTGTAGGGTTAGAGTTAGTGAAGGGTTAGTGCCTTGATAAAATAATAGACTTGTGCATTTGGTTTTTAAAAAATTGCGGTTCATCCAACGTTTGTGCTATTGGTGGGTCAGCCAAATTCTGTAATTGCAAAGTTTTATGTGGACGTATCACAGAACATACAAAACAGACAATGAATGAACAGCCTAGTTGGATTCATGATTCTGATTTCCAAAAAATGATTGATGGAAGAAAAAAAAGAATATTAATGGTTAGGGGGCAACCACTGCTTGTTGATTTCATTCACAGATCAAGTAAGAAGAAACCAAAAGAGGAAAAATAAAAGAAGGAACACTAAATCTATATTTATATATTTAATTATCAATATTATTATTATATTTAAATAATTGCTTCACAGCCTTTTTTCCCTCTGTTGTTTACTTCTCACTTGATCTGTGAAGCAAATGCCAGTAAAATGTGCCTATCAGTGTACAGCAATATATATACATATTTATATAAATATTGACACTAATATTTTGTAGTACATGCATTTGTTAATTTTTGCTTCCTTTTGGTTATTAGTATTATTACTGGCATTTAAATAGCATCAACCTATTCCGCAGAGCTTTACAATAATATAAATGTCATCATTTAACAATAACAATTACAAGTTGTTACAGGAACAATCCGTTGATGAGGACCCTGCTCAAAAAAAGAGTTTACAATCAGGATATTTTTTCCTCGAAAACCTGCATTGTAGAAATTCATTCAAACCGAAATGCCACATGAAAACATTTCAGACCACCTGAACAAAGCGATTAGGCCACACCAATTTTCACCATAAAATAAAGTACTGAATGTTTATATCAACATGAACAACATACAGAATTCACATCTCATTAAATACAGAATATGATTATGCCGAGTGTTACAATGTTAAAGGCCTTAAGAAAAGCCTGGGGCCGAAATGTTGGGGGTCATTTATATTTTGCTATTTATTATGACTCTCCTCTCTTTTGTTTTTTTTTTATCTTAGGTGACTGATATGTAATCCATTGCATGTTTGCATTACTTGCCTGTGTGTAATAATTCTGTGTAATATTGAATTATTGCATAATATTTAAGTACTAGTTGGAAAAAGTTAGCTAAAGTATGTTATTATGTCAACATTTACGCATATTGAGTTTGAGTCCTTGCCCAGTATTTTACTATATTATTATGCTAAATGTGAATGTGATTTTTAGTTGTTGTATTGATAATACGGATTATATTATTATATATAGTAAACTGTATAGGGAGAGGTATTAGCAGTAGAAAGAGGGAAATGCTCATACCATTGTACAGAACACTGGTGAAACCTCACTTGGAGTATTGTACACAGTACTGGAGACCGTATCTCCAGAAGGATATTGATACTTTAGAGAGAGTCCAGAGAAGGGCTACTAAACTGGTTCATGGATTATAGGATAAAATTTACAAGGAAAGGTTAAAAGAACTTAACATATATAGCTTGGAGGAAAGACAAGATGGGGGGATATGATAGAAACATTTAAATACATAAAGGGAATCAACACAGGAGGAGACTATGTTTAAAAGAAGAAAAACTACCACAACAAGAGAAGTAAAGGTTTAAAAATAAAATCAGGAAGTATTACTTTACTGAGAGGGTAGTGGATGCATGGAATAGTCAACCAGCTGAAGTGGTAGAGGTTAACACAGTGAAGGAGTTTAAGCATGCGTGGGATAGGCATAAGACTATCCTAACTATAAGATAAGGCCAGGGACTAAAGAAGTATTTAGAAAATTGGGAAGACTAGATGGGCCGAATTGTTCTTATCTGCCTTCACATTCTATGTTTCTATTATTTTTAGATAGTGTTATGTTTTGGTGAGTTATTTTTGCCCTAGGGAAACAGGGTATTCACAGTGAACACCTTAACGGTTAATGCATTTGACTTCATTATATCTACACGTACGCCCTCCTATTGTAGCAATTTACTTCAAGCACTTCAACACACGTCAATGAGGCTAATACTCTGCACATATGGAGATATTATATATTGCTGTCGGAGGTATACCTCCGGAATAAACAATGTTATTAGTACATCATGATGTCATAGCCAGAGTTCTGGGGCTGGCTAATCTAAATTGGTCGGCTGAGATCTATCAGCTGACCATCAAGACAGGAGGCTATAACT